TTGTTCCCCGTGTCACCCTGCCAAATCCTCACCGGTCCATCCTTGGCATTTCCCCTTCTCCAAGCCTGGCATGGAGGTGGTAGAAGGCCAGGCAGGCCCAGGGGATGGTCCCTGTGTCCTTTGATGTGGGCCGTGGGGCTGGCATCTCTCATGCTGTGGCTCTGTCCCTGCCAGGCTACCTGCTTTTCCGGGACTTTGCCTTCAACCAGGCCGAGGAGGCCAAGCCCCTGATGGAGTTTTATGAGGAGGTGAGATGGGGGCACCCCCCTGACAGCCCTGTGTTCACGAGGAGGGGTGGGTTAGGGTTTGATACCTACAGGCCCACAGACGTGGTGCCAAGAGCAGTACCCAAGGTGACAGAGTCCAGGGAGCCGGGAGGTGCTGCTTAGGGGACACGGAGGATGGGATAACCATCGTGTGCCCGTGGGATGTGGCACATGGAAGGGCTGGGACCACGGTTCCCAGTGTCCCAGGTCCTGTGTGCCCCTGTGCCACGGGAGCTGTGCCCTCTCCAGATCAAGAAGTACGAGAAGCTGGACTCGGAGGAGGAACGAGCCACCCAGAGTCGCCACATCTTCGACCATTACATCATGAAGGAGCTGCTGGCCTGCTCCCACGTGAGTGCCGTGCCATGGGGCGAGGCACCGGGGTGGGAGGGGTGTCCCCAGTGTGCCCACAGGGGCCTGGTACCCAGTGTCTTCAGAGGGAGCTCCGAATCCTCCACAGGCTCTATCCTGGGAACCATAAACCCAGACACAGACCCCCTCCGTGGGTTTTCCCCTGCCTGGCCCCTGTGTCCCTGTCCCTTCTATCCAGGGTGACACAATCCCATCTCACCTCACAGCCCTTCTCCAAGAGTGCCACGGAGCATGTCCAGAGCCGTCTGAGCAAGAAGCAGGTGCCCCCAGATCTCTTCCAGGTGGGCATCACCCAGGACAGAGAGGGAGTCCCTGCCACCTGTGGTACTCGGGGAGTTAATCCTTAAAGGGGGCTGGGGATGACAGGAGTCCCTGGAGCTGTGGGGGAGGGAGGGTTCTCAGAAAGTATGGGGAGCCCAAGGGATGGTGTGAGGATCCCCAGCATGGTGGGAGTGAGGGGAGATTGCTGACGGTCCCCATGGGGTGGTCATCGGGGGATTGGGAGCTGGAGGTAGCAGGGATGTCACCCTAGGGTGACAGTGGAGTCCCCAGGGCTGGTGATGTTGTGGTCCCCAGAGATTCAGGTGACCCTGAGTGGCAGAAGCATCCCTGGGGACCTGGAAGTGGCAGTGGGGGCTGTGAAATCCCAGGGATGGAGAGACCTCACGTAATGGTGGGGGATGGGTGATGTGGGTATCCCTGGGGACACCGTGCTGAGCTCTGTGTCCCCTCCAGCCTTACATTGAGGAGATCTGCCAGAACCTGCGAGGGGGCATCTTCCAGAAATTCATCGAGAGGTGAGTTGGGGGGAAAGTCCCACATGGATCGGGGTGTCCCATCCCCCTGGAGACCTGGGTCTCCCAGCCCAGACTGGGACCAGGGGGTCCCTTCTTAGATAGAGCTCCAGGGGTATCTGTCACTACACTGAGGACTCAGGGAACGCTTCTCATCCCCAGATCTGTCCTGGGGTCTCTGTTCCCAGACAGGGGTCCCAGGGGGTGCTACCTGTATCCAGACAAATCCGAGGGTTCTTGGCAGGGGGTGTTTCTCCAGGGTCTCCACTCTTGCCCTCTCTGTTCTTCCTTGCAGTGACAAGTTCACGCGGTTCTGCCAGTGGAAGAATGTGGAGCTGAACATCCATGTGAGCAGGAATCCCTGCGCCCCAGGATGCACCTCCAGGGAGGGGGACACGGGGAGCCTCTGTGTTCCTCCCCTGGGGAAACTGAGGCAGGGGGTGGATCCCCCCACCACCACGGACCCAGGTGTCCAGGCTCACCTGTGCCTCCCTGTCACCCCCTCCAGCTCACCATGAACGACTTCAGTGTTCACCGAATCATCGGCCGCGGCGGTTTCGGGGAGGTCTACGGCTGCCGGAAAGCGGACACGGGCAAAATGTAACAGGGGATGCTCCATGTGGGGGGGACAGAGGGATCCACCTGTGATTTGGGGCTGCTGGTGGTCCCGAGGGCACCTGCAGGGGTGTTGCCATGATGACACGTGTCAGGATGTTGTGGAAATATTGTCATGGCTACAGGGACATCAGGGCCGTGGGTGGGAGGTGGTGGGGATGTGGCCGTGGGTGGTGGCACTGGAGGGGCACGGTGGTATGGCTGTGGGGACACAGTGGCTGCAGGGACTCCGTGCCCCCAGGTATGCCATGAAGTGCTTGGACAAGAAGCGCATCAAGATGAAGCAGGGCGAGACACTGGCCCTCAACGAGCGCATCATGCTGTCCCTCGTCAGCACCGGGGTGAGGGCATACGGGCAGGGCTGGCACCCTGCTGGTGGGCTGTGGCAGGGGACAGGGGACAGGGACAGGGAGGGTGACCCCCCCCGTGTCTTCTGCCAGGACTGCCCATTCATTGTGTGCATGTCGTACGCCTTCCACACGCCCGACAAGCTCAGCTTCATCCTCGACCTCATGAACGGTGAGACCCCGGTCCCGAGGGACCCCGTGGCTCAGGGGGCAGTGCCAGGGTGACAGCTGGTCCCTGTGGTCACAGGGGGGGACCTGCACTATCACCTGTCCCAGCACGGCGTCTTCTCGGAGGCGGAGATGAGGTTCTACGCGGCCGAGATCATCCTGGGCCTGGAGCACATGCACAGCCGTTTCGTCGTGTACCGTGACCTCAAGGTGACCGTCCCCACAGGCACCCACACCCCTGTGGGCACCCTCAGACCCCACAGGATGCCCTGTTAGCATCCTCAGGCCTTTAGAAACCTCCCTCAGGACTCCATGGGCAGTCACAGGTGTCACAGCCACCCTGCAGAGCCCTCAGGACTCCATGGGCAGTCACAGGTGTCACAGCCACCCTGCAGGAGCCCTCAGACCCTGTGGGCACTCCCCAAATCCAGAGGGCACCCTCACGTCCCTTGGGCACCCCTGACACTGCAGGAACCCCCTAAGATCCATCACAGATTCTGAGACCTCGGGGCGGGTACTCACTGACCCCATCAGCACTTCCCAGTCCCACCTCAGTCCTGTGGACACCCCAGATCCCACAGAGCTCCCCAGCTGTGCCCATGGGCTGTCCTTGGGCTCAGGGGGAATGCCATGTCTTGGCAGCCAGCAAACATCCTCCTGGACGAGTTTGGGCACGTCCGCATCTCCGACCTGGGCCTGGCCTGCGACTTCTCTAAGAAGAAGCCCCACGCCAGC